ACAGCACAGGGAAAGCCCAGCACATGTGTCTCTCACACAGACACACAGTGTCACCAACAAGGTCAACACCTACCATCCAGGGAGAGCCAGTCGATCTGTGAGCTGGGCAGTGCCAAGGAGTTCCGAGCCCTGTATTCAAACAGCACCGAGTTGGAAATGAAGTGGTTCTCACGAGCCACGTGCAACCTCACCAGCCCTGCTTCATGAGCTGGAAGGAGAAAAGATAAACAGCTTCAGACTTCCCAGGAATGGGACAGCACCCGATAGTCAATTGGCAATGAATTCCTGAACTATTTACAAATAGGAGGGTACCAGAGAAGGGTTTTGATTGAGCAGCTTTTACCCAGGTAGGGAGTAGTGATACAGTGAGGAGATGTCCATACAGCACAGATAGCTGGACAATACACACCCACTGGGAGCTGGTGCTAGGCCATTCAGCCCCGAGCCTGCTCCACCATTCAGCAAGATCAAGGCTGATCCCGTAGTCACTTCAAGTCGATAACCTTTCACCTCCAGAATTCAAAAACTCTCTTTCTGAAAACAGCAGTGGTGAAAGCAGAGTTCTGAAGATCTGCTGCCCTCTGAGAAACCATTTCACCTGATGCCTGTTTTAAATGGGCAGACTCCTTAGTCTTAAACAGTGCCCTACACTCTCCCACGAGTGTGAACAACAGCCAGTTTCCACCTGATCATTCTCCTCTCTTGTGGCAAGGTGACAGATGCAGGCCGATTCTGGAATTGGTTTTTGGAGGTGACTGTGTGGATCAGAGACGGAAGGCTGTACAGTAAACTGTTCAATCAAACCCTCCTGAGATAGACCATGGCCTGCCAGTGTCTTGTCGGTTCAGGGGCTGCTATGGGTGACTGATGTTACAGCTTCAATTAGCACTGAATCCCTAAATGAACTGGGCTTGCCCCAGGATACAGGAATGAGAGGAAGCTACTGAACCTCTCAAGCTGGTTCTACTGCTCACTGAAAGAACAGTAGATCTGTCCCTGAACTCCATCTAATCCAGCACAGCTAACAGGGGAAGAATTCTTTCCATTCTGACTGGCAGCGAGGTCTTGACCCACCTGGACAGTAACAGCGCAGGACACCAGACTGAATGAGCGAAGCTGGGACTGTGACCTGGTCAAACGTACAGGAGAATTGCTCACTGCCATCATTCCACGGGCCTGTGATGAGGACTTTCACACCACCCTGAAGGGAAAAAAGCACAACACTGTCAGTGATAACACAGTGTGCAGCTGGAGAAACACAGCAGGTCAGGCCACAAACACACTCTGCCACGGACCACCCTCCCCAACACACACACACACACACACGCGTGCAAACACGGGCACACACACTGACACATTCACACGCACGCACACAAACACACACACACACATGCGCAAACACACACACACATACAGATACCCAAATACACACACGCACACACACAGACACACACAGTACAGGTGGCACGGTGGCTCAGTGGTTAGCACTGCTGCCTCACAGCGCCAGGGGACCTGGGTTTGATTCTACCCTCGGGCGACTGTCTGTGCAGTTTGCACATTCTCCCCGTGTCTGCGTGGGTTTCCTCTGGGTGCTCCGGTTTCCTCCCACAGTCCATTGATGTGCAGGTTAGGGTGGATTGGCCTTGCTAAATTGTCCCATAGTGCCCAGGGATGTGCAGGTTAGGGTGGATTGGCCGTGCTAAATTGTCCCATAGTGCCCAGGGATGTGCAGGTTAGGGTGGATTGGCCATGCTAAATTGTCCCATAGTGCCCAGGGATGTGCAGGTTAGGGTGGATTGGCCGTGTTAAATTGTCCCATAGTGTCCAGGGATGTGCAGGTTAGGGTGGATTGGCTGTGCTAAATTGTCCCATAGTGTCCAGGGATGTGCAGGCTGGGTGGGTTGGCTGTGGGAAATGCAGGGTTACAGGGATAGGGGTAATGGGTCTGGCTCTTTGGAGGGTCGGCGTGGACTGGATGGGCTGAATGGCATGCTCCCACACTTTCGGCATTCTATGAACATACACACGCACACATCCTGGCTCGCTGAAGTTCTGAGCATCTTTTTGTTTCCTTTTCTCAGCAGCGGGAGGATTTAGTTTCAGTGCCAGGCTGGTCATTGTGCCAACACACTGAGGCACCAGCCTCGGCTCAGCCTGCCATAAGACTATAAGATAGAGGAGCACAATTAGGCCATTTGGCCCATCGGGTCTGCTCCACCATTTGATTGTGACTGATATGTTTCTCAACCCCATTCTCCTGTCCTCTCCCCGTAACCCTTGATCCTCTTACCAATCAAGAAGCTATGTTAAACAAAACCGAAAGAACTGCGGATGCTGGAAATCAGAAACAAGAACAGAAGTTGCTGGAAAAGCTCAGCAGGTCTGGCAGCATCTGTGAAGAGAAAATCAGAGTTAACGTTTCAGGTCCGGTGACCCTTTCTCAGAACTGATGGTAGCTAGGAAAATACTCAGTTTCTAAGCAGAGGATAGGGTGAGGTGAAGGGGGTAAGGAGTAAATGATAGGTGGAGATAGAGTTCCTGCCTACCTTCTGCATATAAACCAACTTTTTCCAAGCTACCATCAGTTCTGAGGAAGGGTCACCGGACCCGAAACGTTAACTCTGATTTCTCTCCAAAGCTGCTGCCAGACCTACTGAAGTTTTCTAGCAATTTCTGAAGAATCTCTCTATCTCTGCTTTAAATATACTCAATGACTTGGCCTCCACAGCCCCTCTGCAGCAATGAGTTCCACAGATTCACCACCTTCTGGCTGAAGAAATTCCTCCTCATTTTTGGAAACCTTCTCCAGGCCCCCTCCAATGCCAACACATCCTTCCTTAGATACAGGGGCCAGCAATATTCCAAATGTGGTCTGAACAGAGCCTTATACAGCCTCAGCATTACATCCCTGCTCTTGTATTCTAGCCCTCTTGAAATGAATGCTAACATTGCATTTGCCTTCCTAATTGCTAACTGAACCTACATCTTAACCTGAAGAGAATCCTAATATGGATTCCCAAGTCCCTTTGTGCTTCAGTTTTCCAAAGCCTTTCCCCACTGAGAAAGTGGCCTATGCTTCTATTCATCCTAGCAAAGTGCATAACCTCACACATTCCTACATTATATTCCATCTTCCATTTCATTGTCCTCTCTCCCAGCCTGTCCAAGTCCCCAACACTACCTGTCCCTCCAACTACCTTTGTGTCATTTGCAAACTTAGTGACAATGCCCTCACAGTTCCTTCATCCAGGTTGTTAATGTATAACGTGAATAGTTGTGGTCCCAGCACAGACCCCAGTGTAACTCCACTAGTCACCAGCTGCCATCCTGAAAAAGACCCTTTATCCACACTCTCTACCTTCTGCCAGTCAGCCAATACTCTATTCATGACAGTACCTTGCCCCTAACACCGTGAGCTTTTATCTTATTTAACAGCCTCCTGTGTGACACCTTGTCAAAGGCCTTCTGGAAATCCAAATAGATCACATCCCTGGCTCTCCTTTGTCTAACTTGCACGTTACCTTCTTAAAGAATTCTAACAGATTTGTCATGAACTCCCCTCGACAAAGCCGTGCTGATTCAGCCCTATTTTACCAGGCACTTACAAACTCTCTGCAATCTCATCCTCACTAGACTCTAAGATTTTACCAACGACTGTGGTCAGGCTAACCAGCCTACCGTTTCTCGTCTTCTACCTCCTTCTCTTCTTAAACAGCGGTGTCACATCAGTCATTTTCCAGTTTTCTGGGACTCTCCCTGACTACAGCGATTCCTGAAAGATCACCACTAATGCCTCTGCAATCTCCTCCAGAACTCTGGAGCATAGTGTATACAGTCACCTTCAGACAGTTCAGCTTCCCCTTAGTGATGGCCTGAACACTTACCTCTGCCCCGGACTCTTGCTGTTCTGGTACGCCGCTGGGGTCTTCCACTGTGAAGACCGATGCAAAGTATCTATTCAGTTTCTCTGCCATTTCTTTACTCTCCATTAGTACTGCCCTGGGGGTGAGGTCTGGGTCTTCCCTCGCAGCCCCTACAAATGACTATTTATGCCATTCCTGCTGAATCTGAAGCAAACACAGAGCGTACTGGAGAAACTCAGCAGGTCTGGCAGCATCTGCAGAGAGAAACTGAACTAGTGTTTTGAGTCTGCTGCGACTTTTCACCACTACCTTTTTAAATCTGCTCCTCTGCCAGTGACTTCCAGAAAAAGGTTCTCTACATTCTACAGCACTGTTCAGTTACAAAAGGCTGGGCCCTGGTTGCTCCTGTGTAATAAACTGTACAAGGGCAGGACAGAAAGAGGGGAGGGCAGTGATAAAGAGAATGATTACTGGTAGAAGGGCAGACCCCTTACCTCGGGGTAAGACCACTCAGGGGAGAAATCGGTGATGGTCACATTTTGCCCACTCTGAGCTGGGCCACTGGGCAAAGCAGGTGTTGGATCTGCTGGAGTTCCTGGCACCTCGGGAAATGCCAGGTTTGTAGCAGTGCCCAGCGAGAGCTGCTGCTGAGGGAAGGAGCTGATTGGAGAAGGCAGGTCTGAAAACTGTGCAGAGACGGTCTGCGCTGAGCCCTCGGCTGGAACGGCAGTAGCTGGGTTACTGCCGTAATGTGGGAAGTCTGTGCTGCTGTCTGCCATGAAATCTGACATCAGGTCCGGGAACTGGCTGTCGAAGGAGATTTCAAAGTGGTCAATGTTGAGGTCTATGTTGGATGAAGACACTGCTGAAGAGGAGAGGTCGTTTTGGATGATGGTGTACAGGTCAGGGACATGATTGCATTGTAATTCCAATGAGCCTCCAGTCTCCTCTGCGCTGCCACCAACATTGTACTGCACCTCTGACTTGGCAAGCTGCTCCATGCCCACAATGCCCTGTACCCTTGTCATCTCGGTGTCACCATTTGTCTGCGACGTTGTGTCCATGGACACCTCAGCCTCTGGCACATCCGACTGGAAGGTCACCATCGGCACAGAGGGTGACAGGTCTTCTTGCACGCTGTCATCGCATTCCTGCGGAAACAGGGAGGCCGGTTCCGCTTTCACACTCTCGGGGGCGGTGGGAGATGGCATTAAAGCTCCTGTGGACCCCTCCTCATTTCGGACGAAGAACTGGTTTCGGGATGGAGGAAGGGGGCTCCCAGAGGTTGGGAGGGGGCTGAAGACGCTGCTGAAGTTTTTACGGTCCTCCGTGTTACTGCAGTCCATTTTCTCCGGCGCGGCCGGTGGGCCGGGGCTGGAGGTCACTGAGTTGACCTCGGCAGTCACCGGGAACGTTGGAGTGACCGGATCCAGACCGGGATTCCGAGGGAAGACAGAGATGTCGGGGGAAGCGTGGGGTGTTCTGAAATCCAGGCTCCCAGGTGTCACGCTCTCCAGACTCTCTCTCTGGAAATCCGGCTCCTGCTTCAGATCGCTGCTTGGAAATCGGGAATCGGCGGTGCGGAAGGAGCTGGGATTGGTATTCCCGTCCTGGCCAATCCGTCCTCCTCCTCCTCCCCCATAGGTCTGGCCCTGCTTGGGGCTGTTTAGGAAAGAGTTGTGGTCGAAGGCAGCGTTATTGGTGGACGTGTGAGTTTCTGATGTATCCATATTGCCCTCGACAGTCTGGGGCAGGACGAGCCCAGCTGTCGTACTGGGAACCAAAGACAAGCTGATGCCAACAGCCACGGGAGGCAGAGTCAGGTCATGGCCACTCACAGGCAAGGCTGGGCTGCTGGAACTGGTAGCAACGAGCTGCTGACTGGGAGTCAGTGACACCGCCTTATCCCCAATCCCAGTCATTAGGATGACGGCGTTCTGTGGGATGGTGCAGGTTACCGTGGCGACGGTGAGATTTGGCACACTGGCGGCAATGGTGACCGAGCTCAGTTCCCTCTCGCAGTAGCCGTTGGTTCGAGAGGCTGGAGGGTCGAGGGCACACTCGCCCTGTCCCAGCGACTTTGACAAGGAGACCTCATCGCTGCCATTGACCTGCAGCACGGTTTTCGGTAGCTTCACAAGCTTTCGCTCCTGACTGTCAGCTTTACCTTCGTCCTGTTCCAGTTTGTTTTCCACACCTGAGAGATTCTGCACTTCTGTTAAGGCTGAGCACGTATTGAGTCGGATGTCCACTTTGGGAGATATGATTCTGTGCTTCGTGCTGTTACATTTATGAGGAATACTACTCCCCGTTGTCCCTGCTCCAGGTGCAATTCAGGGGGGAAAAGAGACATAACAATTAAAGCAAATTTCAACCTTCAAATACAGGGGACAGAGAGCTCAATTACCCCCCAAAATACCAACACAGGGGACAGGGAGCTCAATTACCTCCCAAAATACCAACACAGGGGACAGAGAGCTCAATTACCCCCCAAAATACCAACACAGGGGACAGAGAGCTCAATTACCCCCCAAAATACCAACACAGGGGACAGAGAGCTCAATTACCCCCCAAGATACCAGCACAGGGGACAGAGAGCTCAATTACCCCCCAAAATACCAGCACAGTGACAGAGAGCTCAATTACCCCCCAGAATACCAGCACAGGTGACAGAGAGCTCAATTACCCCCCAAAATACCAGCACAGGGGACAGAGAGCTCTATTACCCCCCATTATGAACAGCTGACTAGGTACAGAGCAAATGCCCAAAGTCACAGGAAGGAGATGTCATTATTACCACAGGAGTTTTGCTGGATGGGCCGGCCCTAACTGTCCCTTGGTGGTGAGCTGTCTTCACCCACTTAATTGGTGGTGGGGGGGCGTGGGATTTGAACCTGGGTGCTCCACAGCATTCGGCTGGGCCTCTACATTACTGTCTAGTGACAGCATCACTACAGCACCGTCCTCCTGGACTGAGGGAGGACAGGCACTGCCATCCACAGGCTGAACCAAGACGCACTTCCCGCGGCAAGGTGGGGGCGGGGGGACAGTTAGCTCAGCTGGTTGGACAGCCAGCGTGTGATTCAGAGCGAGCCCTATAGCGTGGGTTCAATCCTGCACCACCCTTCTCTTCAATCTCTCCCCTCATGTGAGGCCTGGTGACCCCAGGTTAAAGCAGCACCAGTTTCCCCTACCCCCCAACCCCCTCTCTCTGCGTCTCTGTCGAAGGGGAGAACAGCCAGTGGTCTGTTCACAACATGGCCTGCTCCATCGGGCTGTAACAAATGGGGTTCCCGATCTCAGTGGCACAGCAGCACAGAGCCAGCGCGAGACGTGACACTTACCAAAGCTGCTGTTGCAGAGGCAGGCGTGAGTACGAGGCTGAGGTTTGACTTGGTGACTTTCTAAAACCTGGTGGACCAGCTGCTCAACAGAGAACTCCGTTACTCCATTACCATTGCTACACGTCCACTTAATGCAATGGACTGCAAGGGAAGGGAGAAAGATCACAATGAACACTGCATCAATAACTGAACCTTACACTGCAGCCGAAAGCACCCCTTCCTGGCTCTCACAAAGTGCTTTCCAATTTAACCTGCTCCCCAGCTCTCTCACAATATCCTACGTATCTACCCTCTTGGTATCTGCTCTCTCTCAGTATCTGCTCTTTGCAGCTATTGATTCAGACTTTAGTAGCCTCCCAGGAAAGATGGTTTGTATCATCATGCCTCTCAATGTGAGAGAAATCTCTCCTTATTTCCCTTTGCCAGTTATTTTAAATCCATAATCTCGCGCAGTGCATTAGAAAGAGGGAACAGGTTTTCTTCTCATCCTGAATATTTCTGCTTGACCTTCTCCAAAGGAGAACAATCCCAGTTCCCTCCATCTCCCCACATTCACCGAGATCCCAAGTTCCCAGCACCATGCTGGTATATTGCCTCCCCACCCTGAGGTGCTGACATACTTCTGAAAGTGGGGGACCCACAATTAACAGTAATACTTCACCGAGGGACAGCATAACTTCCCTACTTTTACATTTCCAGCCGGGGATATGAAGTTGAAAGTCCCACATCCCTTCCTGCCTGCTTTACCCACATGCCCTGTCACCCTCAAAGGATTTGAGAATGTACAGACCCATATCCTGCTGTTACTGCGCTCCCACCCCTACACCATTTAAAGTGCCAAAACATCACAGAATCACTAAATCCCTACCATGTGGAAGCAGGCCATTCTGCCCATTGGGTCCACAGCAACCCCATGAAGGGCATCCTACCCCTACCCTATCCCTGTAACACTACATTCCCCACAGCTAACCCTCCTAGTTTGCACACCCCTGGACACTATGGGACAATTTAGCATAAACTGGAGGATCCAGAGGAAACCCACACAGACACAGAGAGAAGGTGCAAACTCCACACAGACAGACACCTGAAGGTTAAATCAAACCCAGCTTCCTGGTGCTGTGAGGCAGCAGTGCTAATCACTGAGCCACCGTGCTAACCGCTCAGCCACCGTGCTGACCGCTGAGCCACCGTGCCACCCCCATGTCATTTACACTCTTCCTGCAGATTGCTTTTCCCAAAGTGCATTATCTGCATTAAATAGCATCTGCCACCTGTCTGCTCACTTCGACAGTTAGTCTGTATCCTCCTGAGATCTATTCACAATCTATACTGCGCCAAGCTCCCTCTCTCCACCAGCAAGTCACCTTGTAGACAAATGGCAAAAGCAGTGTTGCTAATACTGAGCCCTGGGGAGCCCCACTGCTTCTTCCCCTCCAGGTAGAGAAAGTTCCAAGCACCGTCACTCACTCAGGAATCCATTCACTCCCTTCCCAGTTACCTGCCCTCAATCTCCTGAGAGTGAGACACAATCTGGCCGAAGGTACAATGGCCATTGAGAGAGCGGGATACAATTCAATATGAAGAGCTTCACAGTCAGTGACATTGCCTGACATCTAAACATCGAGTGCACCACAGAAACAGACCCTTTGGTCCAACTCATCCATGCTGACCAGGTATCCTAAATTAGTCCAGTCCCATTCACCAGCATTTGGCCCATATCCCTCTAAACCCTTCCTATTCATGTACCCATCCAGATGCCTTTTAAATGTTGTAATTGTACCAGCCTCCACCACTTCCTCTGGCAGCTCATTCCATACACGCACCACCCTCTGTGTGAAAAAGTTGCCCCTCAGGTCCCTTTTAAATCTTTCCCCTCTCACCTTAAACCTATGCCCCTCTAGTTTTGGACTCCCTCACCCTGGGGGAGAAGGACCATGGCTATTCACCATGCCCCTCATGATTTTAAAAACCTCCATAACATCACCTCTCAGCCTCCGATGCTCCAGGGAAATAGCCCCAGCCTATCCAGCCTCTCCCTGTAGCTCAAACCCTCCAACCCTGGCAACATCCTTGTAAATCTTTTCCGAACACTGTTAAGATTAACAATATCATTCCTATAGCAGGGAAACGAGAGCTGAGTGCAGTATTCCAATAGTGGCCTAACCAATGTCCTGTACAACCGCAACATGATACCCCAACTGCTATACTCAACGCACTGACCAATTAAGGCAAACATGTGGTCTTTCCACAGTGGGAGGGGTCACAGGGTCGACCAATTCATTACTTGGAAGATGATTCTGTTCGTCCCTGACCCAGGGTGGGGGGCTGTGGCATCCCTGAGCCCTCCAGTGAGTACAGGTGAGCACAGACAGCACTGACCAAGTTATTGTGAATGAACTTGGCCCGTACGCATAATTCAAACACTGATTCCACACAGGAACAGGGTGTAATCCTCCCACAGGGCCAGCTGGTTTCGGAGAGTGAGGGTTAGGATTACGTTCACAAGGAGAAGTCTTACACATTGGCTTGAGCTGACAAATGAGCTCCTCCTTTGACCATTTCAGCCACTCCTTCCTATCGCTGTTCACCGAGCACAGGGTGGGCCCGCACGTTTTCCCAGAGTCTTCAGGGACAGGCACGTTCAGGTAGTGGACTAACACAATGTCAGGATTCTGCACGACAAAATTCACAACAAATGTTAACACATAAGGCGGGGGCAGGGAGGCAACAAGGTGACCCCAAGGAAAAACATTACCTACCCGAGGTCAGAAACACAAGCCCGTTGGGGGATCAACATAGCAACAGCAAACACCAGCTAGTTATACAGCAGCACCAAATAAAGGCAGGATGGGCATACCAGAAATTAACTGAGGAGGGAGGTCTCAATACTAGAATTAGGGAGGTCTGTAATGGATAAGGACTCTCTCTCTCTCTCTCTCTCTCACACACACACACACACACACACACACACACATACACAGAGGGGGCTGTAGGGGATAAGGACTCTCACACGCACACAGGGGGGCTGTGAGGGATAAGGATTCACACACACACACACACACACACACACACAGGGGGCTGTAAGGGATA